ATCTGATAGATGGCTCGACATGTTTGTATCGGTTGCAAGTTTAGGGAAATCAAACTAATCAAAGAATTATATTGATAAACGAATAGTCTGGCTGGGTAGAGAGAACCTCTTTCTTTTGATTTTTTTTGAAAATGTCATTTTGATGGCGATAAATAGTTCTTGTCCAAGTTTTCATTGTCCGGTTTCAAAAGCGCTTTTTAGGTGCGCTCAAAGAATCGTATTGAGATTCAAAGCAAAAACATTTCAACATGCTTAAAAAACACACACCACAAAAAATACACAAAACAACACTATCTTCTTGCCTTTTAACAAGAAGTATCTTTTTTTTTTCCTTCCACAACTTGTTGACCATCCACAATGGAGCAAATTTATAATTCTTTTTTTCTCCTTTACATTCTACAGTATTAAAAAAGACATATTTTGGATGTATAAAGGAAAGTACATTGAGTATGAGTGGTTCTTGTTCAAACCATTCATAGGAGAGTGAAGAAGACATTTTTTTTCAATATTTATTTTTAATAAGAAAAATTTCAATTCATTTGCTTATATTCTTAAATCAATTTGCTTAATCGATTGTAAATAAGCATATTCAATGAACTTTTCCTCATTGTTTTGCTTTAGCTTTGATAAAATTAAAATTTCAAACGCAGACTGCAGGATTCGAACCTACGAAGGTTTCCCCAACAGATTTCAAGTCTGTCGCCTTAACCACTCGGCCAAGTCTGCTACATTATCAGTAAAAAATATTTCATAAAAGGGAAAGGTATAGTGTGATTGGCGCCAAAAATTGCTACACTACGGAAATCAACTTGGTTGTATGGGAAAGTTGGTTTTTAAAAATAAAAAAATACAATTCAGGTTTGCCTGTAAATTTGGATAATTAATAACTGAGGAAATACAAACAGGATGGTAGGTTTGGAAATGAACAATAAATTGATCTAAATGTTGAATTTTAATAATCGGAATAAAAGGTCTTCTTTTTGAGAGATGCTGTAAAGTCGTGGGAAGAAAAGAGTGGACAAAAAGCTTCCGAAGCTGAACAAGTATTATTATATGGATGGGTTCCTCCAATTGAAAAGATGGACACTACTGTGTCTCAAATGAAAAATTGTAAAAGATTAGCTCTCTCAACAAATTGTATAGACAGAATTGGTGGTTTGCAAGGATTGGTATCTTTGGAAATTTTATCACTGGCTAGAAATCAAATCAAGAGATTGGAAAATCTTGACGCTGTTGCACCAACTTTGGAACAATTGTGGTTGTCTTATAATAACTTGACATCATTAGCTGGTGTTGAAAAATTGAAGAAACTCAAAGTATTATATTGTGGAAATAACAAGATTAGTTCTTGGTCTGAAATTGACAGACTGAAAGATCTCCCTGACTTGGAAGAAATTTTACTGACAGGTAATCCATTGGAAAAGAATACTAAGGATGCAGGTGAAAATTGGAGAATTGAAGTATTGAGAAGATTACCATCGTTAAAGAAACTGGACGGAAGACCATTTGATTTGGCAGAAAGAGAACAAGCTGAAGGTGTCAGAAAGGATATGGGCGAATAAAAATTCAAAAGGAATCTTGTTAATTGTACGGTACAATCGTTCAATTTAATTCCTAACCACTTTGTTAAGGTACCAACAAGGTCCTACCACATGGCAAACACCTTCATCTTTTTGATTCTTCATTGTCATTTGAAAAACTCTAAGGTAGATAAGGTTGAAACATTATTGTAATCATGATTCCTTCCACAAACATGTTAATATAACCAAGTCTCCTTTACAGTTTCAATCTACTGTACTTTTCACCAAATTAGTCCTGTTACTCCTTGACTGGACTTTGATTGGATCGGATTCGCTCATTTCCGGACTGTTACTCGAGACAAAATGCGCTTTCATCCTTTTTCTTAAAGATCTTTTTCATTCATCATCAACAACAACTCATCAACAATTTACTCAACCATTCCACACACAAACAATGAAAAACAATGAATTCCACATTACACATTCCTGATCATTCCATCATCATCTAAATGAGCCAACCAATTGTCCATATCAAGCATTTTTCAATGTGCTCCATTTCCACGCTTATTGAACATTCCTCAGTCTCTCGGCCAAACTTTGCCCACCACCACTGTACAGTAGATATTATTATTGTTTGACCTCCACACTCAGGAGACCAATTGAATAAATAACAACATTGTTTGCAGAGCAAATTTGCTCTTCTTCACTTTTCCGTAAGATAGGAGATGGAGAGTGGAGAAGAAGTTTGGAGGCGAGAAAATTCTTCAAACAAAAAACCCGAACACCACACCTCCAGAAGGCTCTCTTTTGGGCATTTTCATAAACTTTGAACAAGGACACACAATACACAATATTGGAGTGTTCAATCAATATATATTCATATTATAGATTGAAGAGTACTACATTATCGGAAACATTTGTGTCAATCCGTATTATATTAACTCTCTCTACTATTTAAACTTTAAAGAGTTTCAGGTTACTAGTTTGTTTCTAACAATTTTATATAACATCTGCACACAGAAGAAGAAATGGAAAATTCGTATCAAAGTACTGCTGATTCAACTTCATCACCTGCAATTATAATTCCTCCTCTTGCTGGCCTTTCCTCTGTCAATCAAACAGATGACAATCAAGAAGTGCAGAATAATATTGCCTATCAATCACCAGGTAGCGAACCTTCCTCTCCAACCGGTCCTCCTTCCAAAAAGAAACCAAAACTATTGTGTGGCTGTATTCGAACTGATAGATATTTGGGTTTTATTGAACTGAAACCTGGTATTACGTGGGTTCATATTACTTGTTTCTATATTTTGGTTGTCATTTTGCTTAGTATGTTCGTATTTATTAATGCCATGTCAAGTTATGTTTTCGAAGCTTATCTGAGAGGTACTGTAAATAGAAAAGATCAAGGTAAATTGGCTGGTGACTTGTCGTTTTACAATGAATTGTGCATTTTGGCATTTGGCTTGATTTGGGGCGTGCTGACTGATATTTTGAGAGGTAGAAAGTTTGTGTACATGATTGGTTTCTTATTTATGGGAATTGGATTGTTCCTCTATACATTTGCTGAAACTATTTGGCAATTGATAATCTACAGAATTATTTTTGCTATTGGTGCTGCCAGTACAAGTAGTATGTTAACTGCCATTGTTGGTGACTATGTCAAGAATAAGGATAGAGGTAAAGCATCTGGTTTGTTGGGATTGGCATCTGGTCTTGGTGCTGTTGTCTCTGCTTTGGCTTGTTTAAAGATTCCATTATGGATTCAAAGTGCTGATCCAACCATTTCAACAGGTCAAGCAGGTATGATTGCCTTTATGATTATGGCCTTCTTCTGTATTATTGCCATGTGTGCCTTAATGATCTTCTTCAAGGGAAGAATTTTCCCAATTTGTGACTCTAAACAAGAACGTGAAGCAACCAGAAGAGAAATGGCTGAAAGTAGCGATTGTGAAGAAGAGGATGATGAAGAAAGATTCAACATTAAGAAATCCTTCATCAGATTCAAAAATATCATTTGGGAAGGTTTATTTGTTGCTCCAGCAAAGAGACCATCTCTCATTCTTGCCTACATTTCTGGTTTCGTTGCTAGAGGTGACTCTATTCTCATTACCACCTTTATTACATTGTGGGTCTCTCAACAAATGATTGACATTCATGATTCATCCAAGGCAGATGCTACTGCTAGAGGTGGTACTATTTCTGGTATTTGTCAAACTTTTGCTCTCATTGCTGCTCCATTTGTTGGTATTTTTGCTGACTTGAGATTTAGAAGAAAGAAGAATCAAGATGTTGAACAACAACCTGAACAAGAGGATGATTTCAAGACTGATTTTGTTAGAAAAATGTCGAGATTGATTGTTATGGCAATTGTCTCTGCAATTTCAGGTGTTGGTTATACCATGTTATCTTTCCTCACTGATGTCACTGGTGGTTTTGTCTATTTACCAATTGCATTGATTGGTATTGGTGAAATTGGTGTCATTATTTGTTCTCAAATCCTTGTCACTGCTGAATCACCAAGTAAGGTCAGAGGTAGCGTCAGTGGTATCTTTACTCTCTTTGGTGCTGCTGGTATTTTAGTGGCCACAAAGGTTGGTGGATATTTATTCGATGATTGGAAACCAAGTGGTCCATTCCTTTTCTATGGAGTTCTCAATTTTGCATTATTTATTATTTCTATCGGTTTCATTATTGCCCATGTTATTTACAGGTTCAAGGTTGGTAGAAACTCCAATAAAGGAGTTGACCTTAAGTAAAAACATAAAATTAACTTATTGAATCAAAATATCTTCTTTCACGTTATTTAACTCATATACTTATTAATAAGGGGTCAATTCAATCAAACATTAGAATTTTCTGTTGGAATTGTTTGAGCTTTTTTAAACAATGATTTTTTCCTTCCAGAAGAAGTTTCACTCTGATTATTCAATTCTTTCACTGCTCTTGCAGATTCTGTAAATATTGGCTGATATAATAGAACAGTTACAATTCCAAATGTTAAAATTCCAGCAGAATTGATGAAATTATAGAACAGTGTCATGTAACTCCAGTCATCCAAAGCTGTGGCACAACCGATCGCGATGATTTGTGACAGAGCAGAAAAAACAAGAGCCAACTGCAGTGTAATAACCTTAATGATTGGTCTTTGTGATTGTTGTTTGTTTGTCTTAGTTGCTCTTGTTTTAATTGTTTTCAAAACCTTGAAAGCAACAATCTTCATATTTCGAATAAATTTTTCTCCAATGAAAACTTTAAACTTACCATTGAAATGACCAAATTAATGACAATCTGCAAAAAGTAAATAATATATCCAATCATAAATAGCAGAAACTGATAATCCTCAATAAACTGAATCTTGATGAAAAAGAAAAGCACTGCAATAGCCACAACAATCGAACCAAACGAAACACAGAAAAAAATAGTGAATGAATTCTGGATAATCATGAGTCGTTTGGTTAGTCGTGAGTTTGCCTCTTCGAAACTTCCTGCAATCTTGACAGTTTCTAGAAAGACATGTCCTACAAAGCTCATGATTACAANCATTGTAATGAGATTTCCAACAATGAAAAGAACTTCAATTGAACCTGTGA